ATCCGAAATATCATAGTAGTCATATGCTATACAAGATTTACTGTTACAGTAGATGTTCAAGATGGTTCAAGTAATTCAGCGAAATTCGAAGATGCATTATTTCTACGTGCTGCTCCCATACTCCAGCCCATCAAAATCTACAAGCAACTTTTGGAAGTAAATTTTTCTGCTAGATAACTCATGTTTTGAATCATGGGTTTCGACGCTACTTTTTTGATTTTCACAACTTTTAGACTACATCCACCTGAGTATTAAGTTTCTAAAAACATGTCTCAATGAAGATATACTATCAAAGGACTAAATAGATTGTTGATGAAAATCAATCACTGATTTTCGATATTGTAAAAATTACGTCCTATTTTTCTTATGTAGATACTACAGTGTCACACAGATGAAATACTGATCAGAGAACAAGTATTCTCACTACTTCCCACAACATACATTTTACTATCTAACACTTGGGTGAGTTCATAACTTATCAGTTGAATGGCTTCTGTTCCCGAATCACTGCTGGTTTGATTGCTTTTATTTTTAAAAACTTTAGCATTTCTGAAGGAACTACAGGAAAGTAACGAACAGGGTAAAATCTTCAGGTTTCCTACCGATTTGAAGTCCCTTTTTAAACTACTTTTCATTCGTTACGTTTATATATCTGTTTGCAGTTAATCATCACTCTGACTTCTGCAGGTTTGTAGTTGCATCGTTTATGAAAAATTTGCATAAAAGCCAGAATCATTTGTATATGACATATGACATGAATCAATAAATGTATCGGCTTAAAAGAAGCATTTACACTTTATTTGCTTTCTTTTATTGTCGTTCTTGTCGATTTCTACTCATTATGCTATTGCGAGAATTGTGTTCATATTACCGACAGCCATTACTTCAGATTCTCCTTTTTTTAAGTGTTTGTTCACATAAATAAAATGAATTTATCACTCCTCAGTCTAGGCTTCTCATCAAATCCTACTAGGTTACAAGTTCAGACCTATCTCCACCTATATTGGATTTCTTAGCTGTGTTGTATCATAAGCCATCATACACCAGATATGGTCCAAGATTTGTTTTATGAGGCCATACCAGTGTATATTTCTTGGAAAATCAGATATATCGTGTGCAGTAGTTGATCATGGATGTAAAGCAGCTTAGTGGCGTACTTTCGCATAGGTTGATCTCTAAATACCCGCAAGATACTATTAGAACTTTCACTTGCCCAGAATCACTACATTTATTAAGCCTTTTGCCTCAGTCTGAAACATACCTTATTTGACTTTGTGTCATTAAAATAATATGGACTGAGTTAAATAAGGTAAGACCTCTCGTGCTTATGCATTGAACCGATTTGTTCTTCGTCACAAAACTAGTGTGAGGAGAAATTTGCAAAGTGGAAACCAGAGAAATAAATACAATAATATCATCGGGCATGAATTAAGGAGAAAAAGTTAAAACAGGAAATTTGACGATATAGAATCCGCTATGTTCAAAGCTGCCGTTGTGATCATTTTCATGCTTTATTGCGGAAATATATTACCATGAGATGTTGGTTATTTACCAGACGCCATCCACCAACATGACACCTGATGGTCCTGAGTTCAGTCCCTCACAGTGTCTTCGGCAGGCACTAGGATAAGACAGCTATCCTTCGTTGCCAAGTTTTAAATCCTTCTTCAAGTGGTGTCAATCCTTGATAAAAAATAACGTCAGTAAGTTGTCAGTACATAAATACGCATTTGCATGGATTCAGTAGAAGTCATTATTGAGGCAGCTACTACCTTGGCACTATGCTTAGGTTTGCTTTTGACAGTGGCCTATCCTAACGATACTGGTTAAGGCACTCGCCTCTTGACAAACTACCCTGCTAGTGAGGTCATCTGAATAGCAAGAAGAATGGAAGCAATTTAATTTAACTTCATACGTTAACGATCAATCTTTCTCACTTTTCATGAGCCTCAAAGGAGAGTAGCATTTTACGGTATTATCAACTAGCACTCAAAACTTTCGTGATTGCCATCAACCTTCTATCTCACTGCTCTCTATATTTTCACCTCCTTGTTATTCTGTGTCATCTACCACAGAGCATACTGATCCCCAAAATCTGCTAACCAAACTGCGCATCAGAATTTCAATGTTTGAACCGTTCCTTAAATCACATCTCCAGCTTCACGAGCAAGAATTCTATAGCAGGATATGCATGTATGTTGTATCTCTGATAAATTCACGCTGATCTCAAATGTGGTTATACCCTTAATCAATATAGTCAATTTATAAATTCACCTTCCAAATACTTAGGGACCTAAACGTGTAAATTTAACATGAGACTCAAGGAAATAAAAAGAGTCTCATGTTAAATTGAGTGTGTTGACCACTTCACTTACCTGGGAAGTAGGATCAACCCCGGTGGGTTAGTTGCCGATGAGATTTCTGCACGGATACAAAAGGCTCGATTGGCTTTTGCCAATTTGCGCCACCTATGGCGCCGCCGTGATATTCGTTTGTCTATTAGGGTCGCGTGTACTGCACAGCAGTCCGGTCTGTTCTACTGTATGGCTGTGAAACATGGTCATTGAAAGTGGAAGACATGAGAAGGTTACAGGTATTTGACCACCGTTGCCTTCGTAGTATAGGACGTATTCCGTGGTGTCACCATGTGAGTAATGCAGAAGTTAGGTGTAGAGTTTTGGGGAGTAGAGGTAAGTCAGTCGACGAGGTTGTGAACCTTCATCGACTGAGATGGTTGGGACACGTACTACGTATGCCTAGTCACCGATTGCCTCGTCACACAATGTTGGCTGAGGTGGGTCCAGGCTGGAAAAAGGCCCGAGGTGGCCAGACTAAAACATGGCACCAATGTATGAAGTCTCTGACTGTTGGTTTAAGCCATGTAGGACGATGCAGACTAGGTGGTTGGGGTCCACGGGACAAGAGGAACCAGTGGTTGGAGACCCTAGGTGATCACATTGCTCAGAACCGAAGTCAGTGGCGCAGATGTATACACACATTATCCTCATCTTAACAAGGCTATACCGAATCTCACCATTTTGTCACTCCTCTTTCTTTTCTTCTCGTACTTTATATTTCTTTTGACTGCATTCACTTATCTTCATCCTTCACCTGACTACCTTTTTACTTGATGTGCTGATATGAGGTGTGGCAACTTGGACCGTTACGCAGTAATGCCTGGTCCTATGTTGATAATGATGATGATGCTTAAGTACCGTTAAAATGAGGTAAAGAGCCTAAGTAAATCAGTGGATTTCACTGGCTCCATCTGGATTAACGGATGCATAAAAACTCGTTTTAACAGGCTTTGACCGGGATGAAGGACTAAAGCAGCTCCATTGTGAACTTATAGGTTTTGTAATCATCCGACACCTGGTTTTAACTCGAGGACGGCACGCACGAGAAGACCTACTCGTAGTTTGATCAGCTACATCTTTCCTTTACCACAGACCGTCCAAAAAAGTCGCAATAACTAGCACTATGTTTTCCGAAGGCTGCTCTTAATTCCACTAGTTGAAAAGTTTTATGAAATGTACCTCACTAAGAAGTGATACTTTATTGGCAGCTCTGTATTCGAATACACGTGATCGA